GCTGAAGTCTCCGAATGCTCTTCAAGGGCTGCCCCATGTAGAGCACGTTGCAGTAGTCCAGTGTAGAGGTCACTTCCAGTATTGAAGCACCCACAACTTCTGGGAGCAAGTCGTTCCACTGATTAATTGTTCTCACTGTCAGGAAATTTCTCCTTAGTTCTGGGTTGCTTCTCTCCTTCATTCGTTAGCATCCCTTGTTTCTTGGCCTGCCTCTAGGTGCTTTGGAGAATAGCTCGACCCCTTCTTCTTTGTAGCAGCTCCTTAGCTACTGCTATCGTGTCACCCCTAGTTCTTCTTTTCTTTAAGCTAGACCATCTATGTGTCAGGCCCGCTGCCATCTTTTCTTTTGGGCCTTTGGCCTGGCACAATTGCTATTATTCTGCGATGCATTTTCTATTGTGGGAAAATGGGAGGGGGGATTGTAAGGAGTCACATACTATGTAGCCGCAACAAAAAAAATTCTAGAAAGCCAAGGTCATCCTTTGTCTCTGCACTTCTGCACCTGACTGGAATTGGTTGGGTGGAAGCTGCCAACATGGCAGTGGAAGATTGGACCGGTCTTGTGGGTTTGGGGACAAGATCTTGAACTTTCAACTGGGTGGGGAAAACCGGGAAGCTTTCAGATTCGGGTTTTCCCAGATGTGCCAACATGGCTCTCTTAATAAATTGGAACTTAGAGCAATACTTTGCCTTGGATTCTGATTTACTTTTGGATGCTATTTGGAACCCTGACAGTAAGGTTTCATTAAGCTAGTTCACTTATCATCCGATTGTTTTCTGCCCCCCATGTCCGATACAGATGTTGTTAATCCGATGATGTCTGAGATGGCATGATTCTTCTAGTTCATGTCACTCTTGTGTCTCAGGCAGTCAGGTGAAGTATTAGGAGGTCTTTGCCCAAGGACAGCTATTGGTAAGCCAGGATTCACACCCTGGTATCCTATGTGAAAAGTGGCTCTCTAACCACTACACTATCCAGCTGGCGCAGAGAGTGAGAGAGACAGACATACAAGCATACAAACCTTCAAAATTGGGCTTCAAAATTTCAGCAACAGGTTCTCTGCCAAGTTGCTGGGTCGGCATGGCCATGGTGGGTGTGGCCTAGTCAACCTCCTGCACCACTGCAGGGAGATCATTTTTGCCTTTCCCAGGCTCCGGAGGCTTTCCTCGAGTCTTTGGGAGGGCGAAAACTGCCTACCCCGGAGGCTCTCCGGAGGCCCGTATTTCCCCCTCCCGGAGCCTCCGCACAGGCCCTGCACTTAACTTGCATCCAAAACAGGTGGCATGGAGATTCCTGGGAGGGGAGGGGCAGGGTGGGGTGGGTGGGGCCAGCCAGGGGTGGGATTTGGAGGTTCTCGAACCGGCCATAACGTTAGCTACGGATTCTCCCAAACTTGGGTGAACCCACCCCTGATACAAGCATAAATATTGGCCTTCTCTCAGCAATATTTCCTTGATCTTTCTGGAATTTTTTTTTCTGTTTTTGTTTTTTGAACTTTAATAGACCATGTATAAAATGTTCCAGAACAAAAATAGTATATCCAGGGCCTCCTACCTAACCTTTGTACATGGATTGCATTCATACCTAACGGATAAACCATTTTAAAATAATGCTTTTGCTGCACAAGCTGTGGAGGCATAGAATGCAAAGCCGTAATGGGTTCATGCATCACGCTGAGCTGAAGCCCGAGAGAACATAATGTAGCAAAAATGTGTGAACCAGGCAATAGAATAAATATAACTGATATTTTGCATTATTTATCCTCTTTTCAAAAAGATAGACTCTACAAAATAATTAGGTTTTCTAACAGAGCAGGCTGGAAGGAAGGAAAGGCGTTGTGGCGTTCTCCTGCTCGACACTGTTTTGTGCAGAGTGGATGGGGCTGCATCAGCATTTAAAAAATGAAAAGTGGAAGCCTCCTAATGACTTCTTTTGCCTGCAAAGATATCTGTCTCAGCTTGCTCCCTTCTGATAATAATTAGGATTTGTATGTACCAAGATCTGGATCAAGTTAGAGACGGCCAGATATTCGTAATTCCTCAATAAAATTTTTGTGTACCAGAAATGTACAAATCAGTTTGAATTCTAAATCTATTTTTTTTCTTTCTTCCCAACCATCCCTAAACCCTGTAAATAAAATTATGACTCCTGTTTTCTTGTAGCATCTTTTTCTTTCCTCTCACTTTTGCCGGCTTCCAAGTTCACTTGTAGTTTCTTTGAAGTAGTTCCGATAAATCTCTTATGTTACAATTTGAAAGAGTAACCCACAACGTCTGTTTCCATTTTTAAATGGCCACCCAATTGCATTTGTAAATTCAATGTGTCCATCTCTTATTGTCTCAAGAGGGATTTGTTCATCTTCAGTAGTAACTCCTAGTTCTAGCAAAGTGTTAAAAAATTCAAGCCCTTCACAGACCCATAAATCAGATATTTTCTTTAAAGTAGGCATCTTGTGCTTCGATAATAAGACTTCAGGGTTTTGTTTTACAGCTGATAATAAGACAGCTTTTCCACCAAGTGGTTCTTTCTATTGACCTTTTCAAAAAAGAAATGTTATTTCTTTCCATTTAAATATTTTTAATCTTTCCATTTTCTGCAAGACAAGCAAAAGTCAGTAAAATTCTCAGACATTTCTAAATAACAAACACCACCAAAGAGAAACACTTAACCGTATTTTTCAGAGTATAAGACACACCTTTTTCCCGCAAAAAAGAGGGTGAAAATCTGGGTGCGTCTTATACACTGAACACAGCATTTTTGGCCTCTCGAAACCCCGCACCTTTTGCAAAAATGGATGCGCACGGGATTTGGGAGGCCTGCAAAGTACTCCTGGGGAGGGCAAAAATGAGCAAAAAATGGGCCATTTTTTGCTCGCCTTTGTCCCACCCAGCCCCCAGGAGCACTCTATAAGCCTCCTAAAGGCTATGCGTGCCCCTTTTTTTGACAAAAAACAGCCCATTTTGGGGAGGTCTGCAGAGTGTAAAAACTTTTTTTTAATTTGCCTCTTCAGAATCTTGGTGCATCTTATACTCCGGTGCATCTTATACTCCAAAAAATACAGTACCTATATCTAAAGAAAGACTTTTTTTTTTTTTTAACTGAAGACAAAATTATAATCCGAAACTGTGTTTTCCAATCTTGGCAACTTTAAGATACGTGGATTTCAACATATCTGAAATTTTCAATGCAGGCTGGGGAATTCTGGGAGTTGAAGTCCGCATATCTTAAAGTTGCTAAGTTTGAGAAACAGCCAGGGGTGGGATTCAGCCAGTTCAGACCAGTTCGGGAGAACCAGATATCAATTTTAATCTGGTTCGCCGAACTGGTAGTTACAAGGACCGGCTGACCCCGCTCACCCTGCCCTGCCCCTCCCAGGAGTCTCCACGTGGCCTGTTCATCATGCCAGGTAAATGCAGGGCCCGCGCGGAGGCTCTGGAAGGGCGAAAAATTAACTTGATGGAAGAGCCTTCCACCCTGTTACTCAACTCACTAGCCAAAGTAACCACCATTTCCATGACTCCCCGAGGATCAACAGTCTGGAGGACAGATGGGCTGATTTAAAGTTTCCTTCTTAAATCTGGAGGAAAAAATAAATCCAATACTCCCCCTCTTAGTAACTGTAGGGCAAAGCAATCTGTGATACCATCTCCATTTAAACATCCATTTTTCCCCACTGGGAGCTTGAACCAGGCATGGGATTCAGACGGTTCGGGCCAGTTTGGGCGAACCAATAGCTCCAATGATCAGTTAGGGAGCGAATCTGTTCTTTCTGACAGTTAATTGGGCCCACCCACCCACTCCTGCGATTTACTTACCTATATCCTCTTGCGCGGCAGAGCAGATTGCCGTGCCACAACTGTGTTACTCCCCAGAAGTAATGTGGAAGGTAAGTTTTGTTAAAACTGCACACGAGTGCGCGCAAAGCATGCGATCACCAAACCAGTTGTTAAACCAGTAGGATCCTACCACTGACTGCAACCCCTCACTTTCTTCTTTTAACCACAGTGTTATAAGCCAAGATTTTATCAGGTTGTATTTGGAAATCACACAGAATTTTAACCAGTTTGGTTTAATGGTTTAGGCTTCAGACTAGAAACAAAGAGACTGTGAGTTTATTCCAGACACTAAGATAGCTGGATGATATTGAGCCCATCACTTTCTCCTTGCCCTAGGAAGGAGACAATGGCAAATCCCTTCCGGAAAACTTTGTCGAGAAAACTGCAGGGGTTTATCCAGGTAGCCTCCAAGAATCAGACATAACTGAATGGAAGAAAATTATTCTCATGTAGCCCAGTGTAGGGATAATTTCGATATTGGATTTGTTTCAAGGCTCAGAATAACGTCCCTTTCAAATACAGGTGGGCTTACTCAGACAGAAGCTGGACAGCTTACAAAAGTCGAAATATGAGATGGCTCAAAATTACGATGCCCAGCTCCAAGCCTTGAAAATCCAAGTAAGGAAAAAGTCAGATTCCTATTTTACAGTGCTTGAAATATTCCAAGGTTAGTTTAGTGATTTGGAAAAATTATTACTTAATTTTACCCATCCTGGGGGATTTTTATTCGTGGAATGAAAGAGGTCATGATGGAATCCACATCAGCATTTGGGTTAATAATTTCCTACTCACCAAAATGTCGGCTAAATTTATTCTTTCCCCCCTCCCTCCAAAATTGGACTGAACTGTTTTTATCTATGGAGACTTGGTTTGATTAATTCAGGGGTTCCCAACCAGGGGCCCGAGACGATATTCCAGGGGCTGCGAAAACGTAGGTTTAGAAGTTTCAAAATTATAGTGTTATATGTATAATTATATGCATATAATTATTTTTAAGAAGCGCGAGAATATATCAAGTGGTCTAGGGATTCAGGGTATAGAAAAGGTTGAGAACCTCTGGATTAATTGTTAATTATGGACCACAGCTGGGATTCACCCCAGCCTGTTCAGATAAAACCAATCAAACCACAGTCTGAAGCCAGTCACTTCATTCTTGAAGCTCAAGTGCTCAAATAGAGGAAGTGTGGAATGAGATTGTGTGAAGGCAAGGTTTGCTCTGGAAAGCAATCCACCTACAATCCATATTTGGATTGTGCTTTAGGAAACTATTATATACGTCCACCATGTTCCTCCATTTGCCTGCACATAATGGCTGACATAACAACCCTTGAAAGGCAGCATCTAATTTTGTCCATTGAAATCCAGCCATTCCCATTCAACACTTGGAGTGTAAGGAATAGAGACGATGTTCTTTTGATCGGGTATCTGGGAGTAGGAAGTGCTGCACTGGTAGTCCTCGACTTACAACCATTCGCTTAGTGACTATTCGAAGTTACGACGACATTGAAAAAAAATGACTTATTACTGTTGCAGCCTCCTCACGGTCACCTGATCAAAATTCAAACACTTGGCAACTGACTTGTATTTATGACAGTTGCAGAGTCCCTGGGGTCATGTGATCACCTTTGGCGACCTTCTAACAAGCAAAACAACTGCAATAATTCGCTTACCAACTGTGGCAAGGAAGGTCATCAAAAGGGGGAAAACTCACTTAACCTTCTCACTTAGCCATGGGAATTTTCGACTCAATTGTGGTCGTAAGTCGAGGACTACCTGATTGTATTTCTCTCTCTCCACTTGTATGCAATTCTTTCGCTTTCCCGGAATGAACAATGTATTTTCTGTGCCCTTTTGAGTGTAACCTGCCAGTGCTTGGACTCATTTTCTTTGACCCAGAATGCCATATTTAATTATCGTATTCTGAGACCCATATATGGCAAGACCAAATGATATATTTTGCACAAGAACCTCACTTAATACATATGACTTTTTTATTGGTCCGAGTTGCTTAGCTGCAAGTTTAGAATTGGGAGCAGAGTATTCAGGTAAGGGCATGAATGATTCTCTTTGAGAATCATTATTTGTGATCTAGATTCTTTAAAAAAGCCCCCCCCCCCATGCTATGCTTTATCACTTAGGGCAGGGGTCGGCAACCTTAAACACTCAAAGAGCCACAAAGATCCTAACCAGAAGCCCCCCATTCAATTCTGAAGCCATCAGGAAGTCTGGTTCCCTCACCATAGAGTCTTCTCCTAGCATGGCGTCCTTTTTCCTCTACTTGTCCTAACCAGAAGCCCTATTCATTGTGGAGCCGACTGACAACAGGGAGCCACAGCAGAGGGATGAAAGAGTCACATGCGGCTCCAGAGCCGCAGGTTGCTGACCCCTGACCTAGGGCCATGATGGTGAACCTATGTCACGTGTGCCGGAAGTGGCACGCAGAGCCATCTCTTTGGGTACGCCAGCCATTGCCCATTGCTCTTCCTGGTTCCGGCATGTCAGCTGGTCTTCATGCACGAGGGAGCACCGGAAACCAGAAGAGCAGCTCCCTAGAGCGCATGCGCACACCGGGAAGCTGAGCTTCCGGTTTCTGGTCTTTGTGCATGCATGCGTGTCAGAAACCAGATGACCAGGTGACCGGCGCACATGTGCCCTCCAGAAACCGGAAGCTCAGCTTCCCGGAGGGGGCATGTGCGCCGGAGAACTGTTCTTCCAGTTTCTGGTGCTCCCCCGCCCATGTGCAGATGCTCCCATTACAGCACTTAATGTCAAAAAGTTTCACCAACACTGATCTATTCATTATTAACTCTCTTAAAGATTAGTTTATGCTAATGAACTTTTTGATTTTAAAGAAAGATTAAGCCTGCCTGCAGAAGATGGCGCTAAATTAATGCAAAACAGTTCCTACAAATGCTAGATAGAAATGCTTTTACACAGAGGGTACAATAAACCGAATAAACATTGTTTAGTCATGCAGTTAATCTGTGTGAAAGTTCACCTGTGTTCAGTCTTAGCTGCTTAGTTGTAATAGCTGGTACAATTAAAAAAAAAAAAAAGAAGAAGCCTGGCTAATTATAATATTCAATCTTAACTGCCTTAGCCCATCCTGCCATCCGTTTTTAAGAAAGAAATAATATATTCTTGCCATTCATTTATTTTCAGTTTGCTAAGCTGACACAAAGCTATGAAAAGTTACAGTTGCACCAATTAAAACAAAACAAAACTCACAGCGTGGAGAAATGCACGGAAAACCAAGAAGCCCCTTTCCCGATGAACAGCTTGAACCAGAAGTTGGAGGTAAGGATCTCTATTTGAAGTAGTGCTTCTTTCGCGAACCTTGTTGCACTCCAAGATCAAGAGAGGGGACAGGAAGGGAAAATATTATTATTTGCCTTTGGAGACCTGCACGAGTCAGTCTCCTTTCACCTTTAATCAGGTGGGGCATTCTTCGGATATGCCATGAGAAAAATTGATTCTAGCTTTTGTTTATTTGGTTTGGTTTGTAGGTTCAGAAAGTCAGGGGAAATTTCATATACCATATTTTTGGGAGTATAAGACGCTCCGGTGTATAAGATGTGCCTTAGGTTTTGGGGAGGAAAATAAGAAAAAAAATCTGCTTCTGCCTACCAGCATCCATGATCTTCAGCTGACACATGGTAACAA